TGTTAGTAAGGTCTGGTGCTGGTGAATAGAAAGTATGCGATCTGTGGGCTTGGTGTGATAATCCTACTTTGGAATAGTGGATTAGCCGCTTGGCATTCCAGCCCAGTCCACCGTAGCTGGGCTAATTACTACCATGATAGCCTAGGAGTGACAATAGAGGGAGCAGGGCAGAAGTTGGGGTGCAGAGAGAATGAGAGAGACAGAATTGGGCATTGTGTGGCTGCGGTGTGCTTCATAGTCCAATGTTAGGTCTGCTTATTTTTATCCTGATATGGTTCACATTCGGGCTAAATGTGTTTGAATGCTTGTTTGCATTCAAACAGGACATGCATAATATAACACATTTTTTGGCTCATGTACAAACACCCACACACCTGAGAAACAATTCCAGGGGAAAGTTTTGAAGAATTAACAAATTAACAGTTTAAAGTTACCTTCTTCCAGTAAAAAAGATGGGGAATTCCCTGCAAATTACACTGGAACTGGAGGCCCTTGGAGCGAAAGACAAAGTTTAAGTTCACCATGCATTCGTGTGTGGAGTTTTTATGATTTTATGCCTTGATAGTGTAAGAATAAACCTCCAAAATAGTCACGATGCTTGTCGCGACACGCCGACCCACTGTTCCAGAAAGCGAACCCACAGGTGTGTGTGTTTGTCTGAGTGTGAACTGCTGACTGCTGTCATAGCCCAGTTGGCGTGGAGTGCGTGTGTTTGGTGCTGACTGTCCGAACATGTTGTGTAACGCGTGTGTGCGCCTTGCTGACTCCGGCAGCGTGTGTGAAACATCTGACCCTGCACTTTGACTCCTCTGACCTGCTTGACAGCTTGGCAGCTCGAGACATTCCAGAGAGAGAAAGAAAGAGTTTGACCCGCAAGATGAACCTTGCCATCATTTCAGTGACACTCAGAAATCGCACAAACACACACACCCTGTCTAACACAACAGCATAGCACAGCTGCAGGACAGTATGAAGGTAAAAAATTCTTGTCCAAACTTGACACCCCAAGTACTCTTTGCAGACACAAGTATCTACAGTCTTGTACTAAACACGTAGGCGCCTGAGGGCCTGCAGCTGCAGAAAGTCCCAGGACGGTGGTCCGCAAGTACATGCACATGGACATTTTGGCTGTATTTTAAAAAAAATGGAACCTAAAGCTTGATTGGTTTTGCCGTCACAACATAACTCACCCCTTTCAACACTCGTTTCAACACCCATTTAGCACTAGCTACAAAACAGTTACTAAATTAGCCTGGTTAGTCATAGTAACATTGACTAATACTTAATAGTTCATAAAAAAGCTTGTGTTTCAACGATTATTTCTGAAAAACACCTTGGCAAATACTGGTGGCAGATCACTACAAACATTCAAAAAGCAATGTTAGAAAAAGCTAACAGATTATAGGCTGTAAAATACAATGGATTAATGGTATAAAGCCCTTTGCCTACCGTCAAGGCCGAAGCATTATCATCAGCCACAGAACAGTTGCTAAATTAGCCTTGTTAGTTATAGTAACATGAACTAATTGTTAATGGTGCTAAATAAAAGCAATATATCATTACATCAGCCACTCTGAAGAAGTTTTAATGTAGTTTGCGCTATAACTTTTTTCGTTGGTAAGACGAAAAAATGGTAATAACATTATAATTAGCAGTTTAGGCTCAGAAAAACACCACGTTCAACAATTACTGCTGAAAGCACCCAGCAAATACTGGTGACAGACCACCAGAAACATTTAAAACGCAATGTTAGGTAAAGCTCATAGATTATACGCTATTAATGCCATTTGCCCACCATATGAAGACAAGGTTGAGCCCGCTGTAAAAATACTCTGCGCACTAACGGCCTAGGTAAAATAAGGAGCGATGAAGGAATGTAATGGAAATAAGCAGCACAATCTCCAAAGACTTCCCTCACTCACACCCAGCACCTCTCTTCACCAACTGTCACACGGGAACGAGGGGATGAGCGTTTGAAGTCACTAATCGCCAAGAGGGAAAGAACAACAAGGACGGCTGTGTGATTGTAAGGCCTGCAACACACTGGCCTCAGATCAGGGTCGCACAGATGAAACAGCTCTGGGCAAATGATGTGGACTCCTTTGATAGAGCAGCATGAGTCACTCTAGGGCAGTGGTCTCCAACCTTTCTCCTGGAGAGCTACCATCCTGCAGAGTCTGGTTCCAACCACGGTCTGCCATACCCGCTCCAGCTAGTTAACTTCTTCAGAAGCTCCTGATTGGCTGGATCAGATGCACCAAACTCTGCAGGATGGTCGTTCTCCAGGAGGAGGGTTGGAGACCACTTCTCTATAATGTGCTATAGAGCTCTATAACATTTGTATGATGCGTGTAATTCTGATAGATTGCGTAATACACAATGGCTTCATTACTCAATTAATTGGAGTAACAGCTGCTGTTGATAGCTATTAGCTGCACTCCCACCAGTGGACCCAGACACCTCAGTGAGCAAAGGCCAAGGCTCAGAGCCAAACACCGGGCAATGATCCCATCTGTGGTGGATGTTTAGGGAGGACAGAGAGTTAATGACACCTCATTATGGCTACCCTCTTGTTCAGAGAACCATACTGGGAGCCATACTGCTCAAACAGCTCCTAATCAACTTGGCTTCAAAGAAAGGCGGGGGGGTGGGGATGGCGGAGTGGGAGAAAAAGAGAGGGATAAACTCTAACTGAGTTTGTAAGTCTCTATTTTTAGTTTTCTAGTTTGCACAAGGCTAATTGGTTATAAGCTGTATTATTTGTCAGCTACATTAGCCTCGCAGCTTCAGTGCAAAACTAAATAAGCAAAGCTCCGACCGCAAATATGCTTTGGCTAAACAACATTTGGGGTAAAGTTGAGTAAATTAGATTAGAACTATGACTTTAATGTGTGAGTCAAGCTGTGCTGAAGCCGGCACAAGTTGCCAATAGCACTTGTGCCAATAAAGCTTTTATTGCGGTTGTCAATAGAGCAGAGCAATCATGACTCGAAGAGCGTGCAATGACCGATCTGCTCCGACTTGCAGCAGAGAGGTGAACGCTGATTATTCATAGACATTCATGCACAAAAGCACAAAAAAAGTAACATTTTCCCACATGCAGAAAAGTCGGCGGGCTTAGCAGCATATCCACCCTGCCGTTTGAACATGGCATTAATTACAAGCTGCACGAGACAAAACGTAATCCCACCATTAGCCTCCGCTAACGAGGGCAGTGGGGTGTGAGTGTGACTGTGTTTACCCCGTTCTGAATAGACTGCGAGGCTGTTTTGACAGGTCGGCTAATTCTAACAAGAGAAAAAACTGTGGGGTGGGAAACTGCTGTGTGCATGTGGGGCTGCCAGGAGCCAGTATGTCTCTTGGAAACTTAACCAGCGGTCCTGAAAACAACAGCATGAGAGAAAGTGAGCGAGAAAGAGGGTGGGCAAGCCAGCCTTCGCTTTGATGGCAGCTCTCAGACACTTAGTCGCAAGTTTTTGAGCTTGGGGTATGTGAAGTGCAAATCAGAGAGTGGAGTTTACAGCATAGTAACAGGCACGGAGACGACAGCCAATCATACGCCTCGTTACTCAGTGGGGTCTGAACGTTGCTGCGCAACTAGGCCTCACGGGCACTGAAGGAGAATAGCTAGTTTTGTAATAAACAAATGAGTTATCCAAGTACAGAAGCAGGTTGCTAGCATCAGTGACTGAAAGAAGTATGAAATGAGCTGAAATGCTCATGTGGTAACACTGACAAAGGTTAGGGGGTCCAATCATGGCAAAAGGGAGGACAGTAAAACGAGAGCTAAGAGGGAGACTGAGAGTCATAAACACACCAAGGGGGACGGATGAAAAGAGAGACGCAGCCTGGACGTCTCCACCGCCTCTGAACTGACTGACGAATGAAGGGACGATTGTAGGATGCGGTTTATGACCATGAGAGGAGATAAAGTAACAGCCACAGTATTGAATGTAGTTACTATTAGTATTTGCTAGGCTATTATCTTAGTACATAACATATTGCTGCTGTTTCTGTTTCTGTTTATTTGCCAAATTTAAACTTTTAAAAAATAAAAGCATATAATATAAAGATGTGCCATACATTTTGCACATTTTGATTCCCCAATATATTCACCAAAATTCTGCAAATAAACTAACTGTAAATGCTTATTTTCACTTACAACATCAATAAAATGTAATTTGACCACGGGTGCCAAAACTTGGTGTAACAAGATTTTCAGTAATTTTAGATCGTTTCTATTGGTGATCATGCAATGTTCACACAATGTAAAGGGCAACAGCCATTTTCAAATGGTATAAAGTGGTTTTAATAATATAAGCAAAAAAAAAAGGAATTAGAAGACTTTCATGTGACAGCAGTAATGTAATACATGTAGGGCCAGTTTCCTGGAGACTGATAAAGACGGGTCCAGGATTACATTGTTATGTTAATGGTGATTTACCGTTAAAAGGCCTTTTTAGTATAGGATTAAGCTTAATCTGGGTTCAGCCCATAATAATACGTTATTACTGATAGTAATGAGTTCAAAAAGAGAGCGAGAGAGAAAGGAACACAAACAAGACGATCAACGGCAGGTTCAATCTCAACACCATGAAACCAAAACTGTTCACAAAACATGGCATGACTGCAAAGAAAACACAGACAGTGACGAGACATGAAAAGGGGGAACATAAAAAGTGTTTAAGTCCTGTCACGAAACCAGAAGAACCGGTGACTGGTAAATATAGTCGTTCCTAAAAAACAACCAATTAGTTATGTGCTATGTGTCGGGGTTCAGGTCCTGTTTCGCTTTGCATTGATTCCTGCCTCAGGCTTTTTGCGTGTTTTTCCAATGTCTGTTTGACATTAATCAGTTTTTGTCACGACTCTCCTACGTTCCCACCCTAACAGTTATTAGCTTAGCGCTGTCCTTCTTTCTCAGCAGAGATTGCATCACCGTCCCACAAACCTTTCCAGATGTTCACATATATTGACCATAGTTTTTCCCCTTTTTCCAGCTTCCTGTGGGACGAATACACAGTGCAAGTGCGCATTAACGACTACCTGGACATCATCTGCCCCCACTACAAGCGCGGGGAGATCCCGTCCCAGGAGGCCGAGCGCTACGTCCTCTACATGGTGGAGCTGGAGGACTACGAGGCCTGCAAGCCGCACTCGTTCGACCAGCTGCGCTGGGAGTGCTCCAGACCCTTCGCCGCTCATGCACCGGAGAAGTTCTCCGAAAAGTTCCAGCGCTTCACGCCCTTCACTCTTGGCAAGGAGTTCCGCCAGGGAGAGAGCTACTACTACATCTGTAAGTTTCTCACTAAAATGAAAAACTAATTTACACATCACAAGCAAGTAACGAAAAATCCATTCTATAAAATTTGTGTACATAATATTTCTAAAATTAGTAGGTCTGAATATTACCTGTCCATTTTTATGAATGTCATACGGTGTCAGAGATTTGAGATTACTGAACAATTAAACACAGTTTAAGGCAAGTGCGATTATTTAGGAACACAGTTAACACAGTGCTAATTAGTGTTTTGATGGTCTGACTAGCCAAGCTGATATGACATCATGCTGAACTTTCTGAGTAGGAATTTTCCAGTTGAGGGGGCTTCTCTTCATTTTTTTCCTAGTTAGAGGTCCAAGTCTGACCCAGCTGTGGGTCACATCCTTGTGTGTGTTTTCGCCCAGTATACATCTGCGTCCTTGGCTTAGATCTGGCCCACACACTGTAAGGGAGAATTAATGGACAACTACATTGTCTGTCATGCCAGAATTGGTCCGCAATGATAGGCACAAGGCAAAACCATGTGAAGTCATCCAGGATTTGGCCCTATTCTGGCCCACATGCCTAACATCTGCCCATTAGTCAACCAACACTCGCATATGAAAGCCAGAATCGGGCCAGAACTGTCTGCTATTTAGTCAAATGCATGCGCTCTCATTTCGTATTAGCTACATTAGCCTTGAGGCACACGTGTCTATTACTCAAAAGCCTCGTAGCATAAGCTTCCACTTCTTATTAGCTACATTAGCCTTATTAGCAAGTGCAAATTTAAAGAAGTAAACTTTGCACACCAAGGCTAGGAAGCAACACAACAACTAGCTGTCTGAAGCTAACAGCTGAACTTAAAACATACAACTGTCCTCTGTTAATAGCAGCTAAAATGGTCTTTTATCGTGTGTCAGCAACTGTCCTTTTATTGGGTCTAAATTTTCTGTCCACTTTCTGTTCCCCTCCACAGCCAAGCCTCTTCACCACCACGGGCAGGAGTGCTTGCGGCTAAAGGTCGACGTGGTCGGACCTCACAGTAAGTGCCAAATATATTATTAGCATTCCTCGCATTAGCCACGGGCTGGTTTACTCGACACATGCTTAGCATTCACGAGCACCTGACGCCGATGAGAGGGGCGGCTATTTTTGGTTCTTCTGTGTAATAACGGGGTTCTTGCCAAGTCCCTAACAATGCAATGATTGATGTCGTAGGCTCTAAGAACCACAAGAAGACGGCGGTGAAAGAGGAGGAGACGGAGGGTGGAAAGAACGAGCGGACGGGTGCGGGAGGAGTGCACAACCCATCAAACAGGCTTCCAGCAGGTGAGCATCTCCAATCTGTCATCCCTCTCTCAGCACTGTCAGTTTGTCTGTTTGCTTGAGGAAAGTCTTCTTAGGACGTTTAAGAACTTGCACAACTTACGAAGTAAGGACTGTAATATCCCGAAGAGACAATATTTTTACATTTATGAACAAAAAACGTAAACACGTAAGATATTTGTTTAGTAGTTTTAGTTTGATAACATATCCGTACCTCATTGTTTAGGCAGTAATGTAGTCATGGACCATATCGCTGTCGTCGGACGAAAACCTCATATCTCCAAAATGGTAACTTTACAGAAGAAAAAACTACTTTACTTTTAATGTAAGCCAAAGTTTTTTCCAAGTCATTTTGGGCGTTTCTTTTAATCCTTTCATCATGAAATTTACATACAATGTAAAGGGTAACGGGCATTTTCAAACTATGTCAAAAACTGAAAAACGCCAAAAATGGAGATGCAAGGTTTTCTTCCGACAACAGTGATATTTTCCTTTTAATAAAAAATCTCCATTCATAATCCTGCGTAGTCCTGGACTAGGCTTAAAAACCGACCCTTAATGATTCATCCTTGTGTTTGATTTAAAGAACAATAACTCGCACTAATGCACACCTTTTATAAGGATGCAGTGATATGGGACTGGGCTGATGCCCCCATCCAGTGCTTTTCTATGTGCTGATGCTAAACATAAACATTTATAGAACATATAGAAATTGGGACTCCATTAGCATCATGGAGAAATGTTTATTTTTAGGTGGTTATTAATGCAGTTAAATGAATAAAATGCGTTAGAATGACTCAACAAAAACACTCTATTTTAAAATATTGGTCAAATCTAAACATCTGTCCGATTGTTTTTAAAGCAATTATCGCCCAATACAGCTAGAATTCCATTGTCAGCATGCATCCGTACTAATTTATCTCGAACGCTAATAACTGACTTCTCTCATTCTCTTTCTCTCGCAGACGACCCCGCTGCGATGATCCCAGTTGTTCAGAGGAGCGTGGGCAGTTCATCCGTATCCGTCTCTTCAGTTTCTCTCTTCGTCACGTTGCTTCCCGTCTTCCTCGCCCTGCTCTTACTCAGAGACTGAGGACTTTGTTGACAGCGGTCCAGCTGGATCTCCTGTTAAACTGACTTTAACGCCAGTGCTGGTCGCTGGCTTTGAAAATACTTTTTATACGAAGATTTTTTTATATGTGATCTGAAGTTGGTGTGCAAGTTCCTGCGTGAAGTGCTTGTGTTTGTGACCTTCGGAGACAAGAATTTCTGGAAGATTTTTTCTCTACGGAAGAACAGTATTACCTACCAACTTTTCCTGTTTACCATGTTGTTCTACTCTGCTCCTGTAGCCTGTGTTTGATTTTTTTTTTTTTTCCTCCACTTAAAGAGTACCCAGTGTTCAGAACTGAGGACCTACCCCATAAGCAGCAACTGGAAAAGGAGCGAATGTGTAATTACTACAGTTTTCATTATTGTGCATTGTACAACTTTCATGTACCATATATAACACTGAGCCAAAGAATAAGGTGCTCTTGCGCCTTAGGTGAAGAGGCTTCATCATGAAAATCATGTAGAATCTGAAATCTAGCCAGTTCTTGGTGTGTTTTAGCGTAGCCGTCAACCACGTTTCCTTTTTGTCCTCAATAGCCAGTTTGTATGCTGTGTAAGCACTATGTAATTATAGACACTAATTGTGAATCTCCGTGGGCAAATGGAGATAAGTGGACATCAAAACACAGAGCGATGTGCAGGAAAAAAGAACAAAAAGATCTTGTCGCTGTTGTAACAGCCTTGTATCTCCAAACAGGCAACTTTAATGCATGTTAAAGATAAATCTTTTTTTAAAATCTCTACATTAATTTAATGTTTAATTGTGAACAAAGTAACTCAGAGCAGTTTGATGTGAAATGGTTTGTGTAGAGAAACTTGCCAACTCAGATTTCTTGACAGTTGTGGTGATGGGAACCAGAGGTCGGCATGTGTACAACACAAATATAGCCATTATTTTATCATGTATTTGCTCACCAGAACAACCAGTGAACCCACGTGAGCTTTGATATGTAATGTTGATAACGATAAAATATTGTGGTTAAAAAAAGGTCTTTTACGAAGCCTTCTCCACCATGCGTGTATTCAAAAATGAAATCTCATTGCATATTCCCTGACCATTTCGTACAAGAAGCTTTCTGTAAGGGAGCTTTTAGATCTGGACATCTGGTTTCTATCACCTCCACTGTGAACAATTCTGACTAAAGTTTCTCTAGAATGATATATTTTGCACAAACCACTCCGAATGACTTTGTTTACACATTAACAATTTTATAATGCTGACATTTTGCAAAACTGGTGGAAATCCTCTTTAATATAGCACAATTTCTATGGGTTCATTCATCATGAAATGTTCATGCAGTGTGAAGGGCAGCTGGCATTTTCAAATGCAAAACAAAATGGAGATACAAGGTTTTACGACAGCAGTCATGTACAGTGGTACTGAGTGGTCCAAGAGTGTGCATGGCTGTGTTTGTGTGTGTGTGAGAGAGGAAGAGAAGCAGGTTTTCTCTTTTTTACATCAGAACACTCAGTACAACTGCATATGTGCAGATGGACATAAGTTGGCAGGACAGTATCTACTAAAGCTGTGTTTTGTTTACTTGTAAATAGTTGTGTAAAAATGTACATAGAGAGATATATAAAGACTTTGTTAATTATGAAACTGTGGTAAATAAAAAAAACGACTTGTGAACACTGGTTGTCGTTTCTCACTACTAAGCGTACAAGGTCAGATTTATCAGCTCTCCACAGAGTAATGTGTGAAGACTGATGCAAGATGGTTTGTGCTGTTACATCTGATTACAGTGCATTTAGAAGCCAATTTCTGCTACTTAAAATAAAAGTATTATTTTTAATTATGTGAATTGCTATTCCTTTATTTTGTGATACTCAGTCATTTTGAGACTCTAAGTCATTACTTTGAGATACTCATTTTAAGATGCTTAGTATCTAAAAATAATGACTTAGCAACTGTATTATAATGACTCAGCATCTTAAAATTAGGGTATCTCAAAATAATGACTTAGAATCTTAAAATAATGAGATAATATCTCAAAATAGTAATCCGAGTATCTGAAAAGTATGACTTAGCATCTTAAAATGGGTGTCTTTAAATAATGACTTATCATCTCAAAGCAATGAGATATCTCAAAATAAAAAACTGAGTATCTCAAAAGTATGACTTTGTATCACAAAATGAGATAGGATCTTACAATAATGACTTAGTAAACCAAAAAACAAAGACTTAGCATCTTAAAATGAGAGTATCTCAAAATGATGACTTAGCATCTCAAAATAATGAGATAATATTTCAAAATAATAAACTGAGTATCTCAAAAGTATGATTTTGTATCTCAAAATGAGATAGTATCTCACAATAATGACTTAGTTTACGTCAAGATCTCGATACATGTAGGACCTAGCCACTAAACCCGCCTTCATTATATTCACCCCCGATCTGATTGGTCAGCACTGAAAAACCACTCACGGACTGCTTTAAGTTGAACTCAGTAATCAATATATATATATATATATATACATATGTATCTTAAATATTGTATATTCCTTTTTTGTACCTTATTCAAACTGTTCAATTAAATAGAAGACTTTCCAACTTTTTTTTAAATAAGAAAAGGGAACACAATTAAATATGAATTTTTGAAAAAATGATTTTAACACACAATTTCTATTTATTTGCTGAGTTTAACATATTTGGAAAAAAAATCTAATATAAAATGTGTCACTTTTACACAGGACACATTTTATGTTTTTCCAATGTGTTAGTCCCTTTAAATCCCAGGCTTATTACATGGTAAGACTTATTATTCAGTAACTACAGGGACTTCAGTGCAAACTGGTTGAGCTATTCTTAGGTTATAGAAGCGTGTAATAAAACTTTGGGCCTGCCGGCGGGCCCTGGCCATTTTATCAGAAACGCATCTACAAAGTGCACCTATATGGTAATAAAGGTGCCATTTGTAGGTTTACCACTACAGATTGTAGCCTGCCTGTTCGTGAACAGTCTCAGCACCCCTGTACCAAATTTATCATTTGAAAAGGACCACCACAGGACCACTCATATCATATCTGATATCCTTTGGAGATCCCTTTGTATTCAGAGAGGGGCTTATGAATTGTGCAGAGGTGGGTACAGTCTGTAATTGTAAATCTACAATATGGTGCACCTAAGTGCTGTTTCTGATTAAATGGCCAATGAGTATGACTATTTTAAAGTAATTGGACAGTAAATAATGGCTATATTTGTGTTGTAGACATGGTGACCCCTGGTTCCTATCACCACCACTGTGAGTCAGTAAGTTCTACAATGAACTATTTCACATCAAACCACTCTGAATGACTTTGTTTACATCTCCACCACTAAATTTGTGGAATTTCCCTGCATAACTGTCTCACCTCCCATGTCTTACTGCTTAATTGTCATATGAGCCTTTATAATACTGCATAAAATGCAAATGGGCCTCTGGCATCCTGCAGACACAGATGTCATTGGATGAATTCAAAGCATTCCAACACATGCAAATGACATCAATGGTTGACCAATGCGCTCTGATGTACCGCAAGTAGCCTATCGCAGAATGTAGCCTGTTAGTTTGTCCATATTGCCGTAGCTTTTTGACGATTTGCTGAAGACTTGTGAGCAAATCCCATCTTCTGCCAAACCAAATGTCAGCTCCTCTACACCACTTTCTCCCTCCTCTGTCGTCCCCCCCTTTCATCCCTCGTCCTTGGCCGGGACTTCACAGCCCTTATCCAAACATGCGGATGAACAGGAGGGAGGGAATGAAAGGAGAGAGCGGGGGAGCCGTGGAGAAGTGTAAACTGTCACCAGGGTGCGAGGATGTCACTTTTGCACACTTTCCCTGGCACTTTCACCCCACTTTCTACGCCTTCTCCTGAGAAAGGTCAACACTTGTCAGGGCCGCTTGCGTTCGTGCCAACTTCGTAGACAATGACCCATTGATTTCACTGATTTGGGTGGTAGGAAAGCAAATCTAATGCAGATGGCGTCAGGGTCAACGAAGAAATAGGAGTTACAGGCGTAGAGTGCACTGCTTCAATCTGACTACAGTACTCTCAAAAAAAACACTATAAAACACCCCAAAAATCTGGTTCTTCACGGGTTCTTGAGTAAAGGCAATGGTTCTGTACAAAACCATGAACATCTTGCATGCTTAAAAGGCTCTTAGCATGGTAAAATGGTGCTTCAGATTAATGGACTGTGTTGTTTATTGTTCTGTTATAGAACCCTTTTGAAAGTGGTTCTGTATAGCACCAAAAAGGTTCTTCTGTTGTTACAAGCTTGATATCAGAACACTCACATTCAACACATCCACCATCAACCTGAAGAACCATTTCACGATGCAAAGAATCGTTAAATCACAAAAAGGGTCTTTGAGTGTTCATGGCTCTATATAGAACCATTTTCTTTACTAAAGAACCCTTGAGGAACTGTCATTTTTAAGTGTGTAGAACCCTTTTCAAAAGAACAATTTCACTATGTTCTATACAGAACTCATGGTGCTAAATAGAACCATCTTTTCAAGGGTGTACAACAGCTTTGGGGCAACTACGCTCTTAAAAAGGATGGTGCTTCAAGGGTTCTTAAGTAAAGACAATGGTTCTACACAAAACCATGAACGTTTTGCATGCTTAAAAGGCTTTTTGCATGGTAAAATGGTTCTTCAGATTGACGGAGACTGTGTTGTATATAGCACCAAAAAAGGTTCTTCTATTGTTAGAAGCTTGACATTATCACAATAGCAGAACGCTTTCTGGTGCTATATAGATCCCTTTTCAAAAAGGTTCTATATAGAACCATATTCAACACATCCTTCATCAACCCCCATTCACTGTGCAAAGAACCCTTTAATCATGCTTTGAGTGTTCATGGTTCTATATAGAACCACTTTCTTTGCCAAAGAGCCCTTGAAGAACCATCATTTTTAAATGTGTAGAGCCCTTTTCAAAAGAACCATTTCACCATGCAAAGAACCATTTAACATCAAATGGTTCTAAATAGAGACACTGCCTTTCCTAAAGAACCCTTGAAGAACCATCCTTTTTAAGGGTGTACAACAGCTTTGGGGCAGCTGCACTCTTAAAAAAAGATGGTTCAAGTAAAGAAAATGGTTCTATGTAGTACCATGAACACTCAAAGAACCCTATGCATGATTGAAGAGTTGTTTGCATCATGAAAGGGTTCTTCAGACTGGTGAAGAATGTGCTGTAGATGGTTCTATATGGAACCTTTTTGAAAATGGTTCTACATAGCACACAAAAGGGTTCTATTTTTATGATGTCAAGAAAGTACCAACAGAGGAACCCTTTTGGATACCTTTTAGACCCCTTTTGAAAAGGTTCTATATAGAACCATCAATTTCCTTTCCATTTCACCATTTCCATCAATCTGAAGAACGCTTTCATCACATATGGTTCTATATAGAAACATTGGTCCTCATTCTCCAATATCTTCCGAAGTTTGTTCTTAAATTCGTGACTTGTTCTTAAACCGCAGAACTGTTCCCACCTTTGTGCTCTTTACCATCATGAGCATTACACATCAACACCCTGAAGCTACGTGTATGTTCACTGGTCTGGACCTACACATGAATGACTACTGACCAGTGGCCAGACCAGTTGTCCTAACCTCTGCAGTCATAAAGTGTTTTGGGAGAGGGGTGCAGGGGTGTAGCCAGAGCTTTTAGAATGGGGTGGTCAGGGAAGCCCCAGAGATTTTACTGGGGTGGCGCACTGCTAGGAAAAAAAAAGCTAAATCAAATGGCATTCCTTTATTAAACAGACAGAAAAAGTGATGCGTTGTTTTTGCTCTGTACATAACTAAACCTGCCCAACCACATGAATAAAATCAATACAATTTTTGCTGAAAGTAAACTCAAAGACAAAACTGTGCTGATCTAATATATTTTATTCATTCATTTGAATCAAGCAAATAGAATTGAATCATTTTTTTAGCGCAGAATATTAAGAAATTATTAATTTAGGCTTCTCTTGCTACAGGTTTAATAAGAAAGCTAGCCAAACAGCACTGTATAACATACAACTCATGAACGTATACACCTGTAAAAAGAAAATAGCATAACAAACTATTATAGCTGACTCATTTTTGATAGGTAACTCATCTTACCATCACATAGCCTTCTTCATAATGCAGCTTACTGAAATAACCCAGGGCATGTTCACTCTCCTGTCTGATGAGAATGTCAGCCAATCACAGCAAGATATGCTAACTATTAAACGCAGCATCATCCGGCTCCTATAACTGATTGAGAACTACTCTGATGTCAGATTTTCATAGGCATAACTGACTCTTTGCTGATGACTGCTGACTCTCACACTCTATAACTGGGGTGGCCAGAGGTGTGGCCACGCTTAATTCTAGAGTGGCACTGGCCGCCCCTCGGCCACTCCTCTGAACTGATGCCCTGTACTTCTAACAGTGACTCTGTTAAACTTATTAAGCTTGCAGATGACATTACCCTGGTCAGTCTCATCTCAAACAGCAGAGACCAAGAATGAGAACCCTAAAGACTCAGCTTCTTTCCCCAGGCCATCATCCTCCTAAACAAGGACTCTTCTCACAACCCTCTGCTTTAAACAGCTGTGCATGCACTTTATTATACACAATGTAATTCATAATCAGTGTATACATCAAGCCATAATCCTTCAGAATAGCAGCCTTTTCCACTTTACTGTGCTCAGTTCACGTTCATTCATTCACCGTGTAAACCGCTTATCCTCCTGGGTTGTGGGGAGGGTCCCAGTGGTCGTTAGGCAGAAGGCAGGAAACACCCTGGACAGGTCGCCAGTCCATCACACGGTGAATACACAGTCACACACTCACCTAGCGACAATTTAGCATTTCCACAATTTAGCATCTCGAACTGGCCTGACTGCATGTTTTTGGACTGTGGGAAGCAAGAAACCCATGCAGACACAGGGGGAACATGCAAACCCCACACAGAAAGGACCCCGTTTGCCCGACCTGGGAATCAAACATAGGCCTTTCTAGCTGTGAGGCGACTGTAACTGTTCTTAACTCCCATTGCACATCCTTTAAATTACTCACAGACCGTTTGTGTACTGCCTATTTCTGTTTATACATGGTCTTTTTTTCTACATTTCTTTTATTGGATTTTATATATTGACCCCTGTGCCATAAGAAATGTCTTGTACATCTAGTACTTGCCAAATAAAGACTCTGATTCTGGCCATTTTGGAGGGTAAATAAAGTGGCTATGTTTGTGTTGCAGACATCACAGCCCCTGCTTTGCCAAGAGCTTCAGCCATTATTGCGTTTACTGTTCCTTTCATTGGCCATCTGTCTTTAAATGGTCTATAACAAGTCTAAAATCAGTTACTATGATTGACAAGAGGTCAGAATACACCTTTGGCCCAGTGCTACCAGAGCCGGGTTATGAGGAGCCTGGCCTCTTCCTATTTCCCCCGTTATATCAAAAACACGACTGCAATATGCCAGAAGGTGCCCGCGAGTGAGTCCTCAATGAATAGGAATGAATGGAGCTAAATGGCTAAAAACGAAAAAAGGTAGAATAGTTTCGAATCACTTACAAAGAACTTTCCTTTAATTTTAGAAAATAGAAGTTTGTATTTTACTAAAAAGCAAAGATAACTCACCTATGTTTACTTTTTTCTACAACAAACAGGTTTGGGCAGCAGAACGCTGGCATTACTGCTACTGAGTGCTGATTGGTTGGCGAGCAGAGCAGCTCATTGGTTGTTTGTGCTTACCGATATCATGAATTTACATGAGGCACCATTTTAAACTCCTATAATTCGAGTTCAAAAGCTCAGACGTCTATGACATAACTTAAAAACTGCTATTTCTTCACATTCTGTTGACAATTTTAGTCAATTTTGGAAAATTTTAAACTAAAAATCTTGCATCTTTGTTACCTCTAAAAGTGTCATAAGTATTAATAGTGGAGAGATACATGCAAGGTGTTGTAAGACAAAACAGTACCAGAAGTATTTTTCAGATTTATTACTGTTTTATTACTGTTTTATTACATATACAACTCAGAAGACACGTGTAGATTCGCGTAGTTTTATAGCCAACCTTTATGTTCACAAACACAAACAAGTGATTTTACCCATTTTTTTTCTTTTTGGTTGACAGCTGCCAAAAAGGCTGACATGAACTGCAAAAAGTGTAATAAATCTCAATTAAATTCAAAATTTAAAATATAGCAAATATGATGCGATGTTAAACCTCTTATGTGTCCAAAGCCACAGTTGCCAGGGAAGCGAACTAACCAGCGACGTGTAACTCGCGGATGAATCACTGTTTTGAACCTGTTGAACCGATTCACTAGTCCAACTGAATCGTTTGCTTTATTACAAGACTTTAAATAAAATAAAATAATGCATTTCAATAATTTGATGTCATAAAATTAAGAAAGCCTCATATAGCTAAGTTAAATAGCATCATTCCATCATTGTGTACTATAGTTGACCTCCTCTTTCTGTTATGAGTTTGCAAGAAAAGGAGAGGAAGCGACATAATACTTTCTCTCGGAACGTAACTACACAATAATAAATAATAATAAATTTATTTGATCTGTTAATAAACAACACCGCGACCCAGAAGGATAAGCGGTTTAGATGATGTATGTATGTATGTTAATAAACAATCGTTAAATCTAATCAAACAGTCGTTAGACGTTCGGTCAGTTCAAAAGAATCGGTTCGCTGCCGTGAATCGAACTTCACATCACTACTACCAACCTACGCCAAACAGCTTTCCCATTGGCTGAGCGTCTCGCCGTCGTTGTCGCTCTAACCAATCACAGAGGAGGAAAACGTGGCACGCGGATTACAAACACGGAAATAGAGACGGGGGACGTCAGCCGTTAGATTTCTTGAAGTGTTTGTTTACGTTGTTCAGTTTAAACTGAAGTTTAATCGCTGATTTTAAAATCCCAGATTAACAAACACTGTTTCTCTTTCGTTCTATGGATTTTCTGCAGTTTCTATCATGGTGCTGCATCGTGTTTACGGTCGGAATGTTCTCCACGGGACTGTAAGCAACTGTCTCCTGCCTTCTTTTCCACCTTTCAGTACAACTGAACTACAAACGAGCTTCTCAGATCACTTTATATTCATTAATACAGGATATAGGGTCAGACTGCGGACACATATACCCGTAACGTCGTGCAGTTATAGTAACATGTGCGCAGAAATGTCGCCTTACTCTATGTTTAACTTCTAAAAGTAGAACTGGTTTCGGTTTAGCAGGTTAAGTGACGTGTACAGGTTGTGAGGACCTTGCGTAGATAACCTGATAACTTAAGTCCATAGCCAAGCATGTCCAATGAGCCCTAATCATCCAAATGTAAACATATACGTTGAGAATTATTGTAAATTCTCACGATAATGTTATATTCTAACTTCTTGCTCATGTGTAATCCTAAATCCACGGCCCTGTATCGAGTCAGGGGTTTTACTGCGCATGCTCAATTGTTTCTCCGCTTAATAATGTAATTGGAAGGCCCTAATGGCGAGCATGCGCAGAAAAATATTACTTTTGTTCTGCTGCTTTAGTCTATTATTATGATCATTATTATTATTATTATTATTATTATTATTATTTTCTATAACGCTTTTCACATACCCAAGGCTTCTTTACATAAGGACTTTACATAATGACAGTAGACACAGAGAGAGAGAGAGAGAGAGAGGAAGAAGAATGAAAAAAATGAGAAAACAGCAAAGTTTTTAGATGGACGTTGTTGCGGATAGATGAAGGAAGAGAGTTCCATAGTTTTGGGGCCATAACACTAAAAGATCTGCCCCCAAAAAGGCAAGGACCACCAAGAGGCCTTCATCAGAGGACCTGATCAGGAGTATAGGGAAGAGGGAGATCAGCTTTGTAAGGGGGTGTTGGACCATTCTGGGCCTTGAATGTCAAAAGAAGGACCCTAACCCCTTAAAAAGCCAGCAGGCCCAAAGTTTTATCACACACTTCTATTAACCTAAGAATAGCTTAACCAGTTTGCATTGAAATCCCTATATTTACTAAATAATAAGCCTTAGTATGTAATAAGCCTGGGATTTGAGGAGGTTAAACTGGAAAAGAAATGGGTAACCAGTGCAACTGATAGAGAACCGGGCTGATGTGATCAGTTTTGTTGGAGGAGACAAGCAAGTGAGCAGCAGGATTATGAACGTATTTAAGGAGTTGCACGATATAAAGGCTAGTGTTATACAATAAAAATGAGCTTATGTAGAGGCTTATGCAGAGCGTCTGTGGGTCCTTAACTGTCGTAATTTTGTCTGAAATTGCATTCTACAAATGAACAAGCTTAACTATTATTAAACCGTCTTCAATTCAAATGTATATGGTATTAGATTTTAGGATACAGACAAATGTTTGATTTTTTTTTTTCTAGTAAACGTTTGACATCACATCACAAACACATAAATAACATTGAGTCACTCACCTGACACAGGGGCATGCCTTAAAGGGCACTATGGCCAAAATACAAAGTGCAACCGTTATTTTATCTGTGATAAACATGCCTGCTCACCTCCTGTAGTGGTGCCACAGAGTGAGACATTCCAGTTTAAGGGCTAGCCCTTCTAGTGATGCATCTTGAAGGTGGGAGGGACTTTTGAAAACTACAACAGCTGTTTGAAATGTCATATAGAGAAATTGTCATTGGATTTTGTAGTGAGAACATGATGAAAACACAAAAAGGACACAAAATCGCCTTATGAGGCTGAGGACTATAATGCTGCGCTGTAAAACATTGCGTAACATTGTTGAGCATACAAAGCCCTGAACATCCAGTTGCAAACTGTGTGTATGCATGTGCATTTTGCAGAACCGACCTGAAGAAAATGAGAGCCTCTCAGAGTGCAGATAACGTCCAGTTCCTGCCCTTTCTTACCACATGCTTAAAGTAAGTGCTATTTTAGTATGTGTGAATTACGTGCCTGCATTCTAGACTATAAAACAATCTGAGGCTACGTTTAACTGTCTTTTTCTATGTTTTCAGTAATCTAGGTTGGCTGTACTATGGTGTACTAAAACGGGATGGGACGTTGTTACTTGTTAACACCATCGGAGCCTCCCTGCAGATCCTGTACATCATCGTTTACTTCCATTATGCCAAAGAAAGGGTGGGTGAAACTCCTGCAGACCGGAATCAGAACTGCTTATATTAGCCAGCATTTGCTAGCATTTGGCATATTTGTTGTTGCTTTTAATCATGGCGTAGGGCATATTTAAAAGTAATAATCACCTGTATTTGGAGAACTAGGTAGAGATCAGCTTGCCAAATGGAGTTAGGCAATATTTACATGTAATGTTTTATTAATTTTATTTTTTATTTTGTTAAATGTTTATGTGGAGGCATAAATATATGTTTTTTTTCCTGACATCTGATAAATTGGAAGTAACAAAGTAGTGCAAAGTAAATTTAAAGAAAAAAGCTTTAAAAAACTGAATGCAACATGACATGAATGTACTGCACTAAATCCAGTAAAACAGGCCTAGTTGTGCTCTCTCTGTAGCCAAAGATGCAGTTGAGAAGTGTTTTTAAGTACTGACAATATCCACAATATGCTCAGAGAACCATATTGTGACATATTTTGACTTAATTTAATCTGATAACAATCATGCTACCCAGCTCTATTATAGAATGCTTTTGTTTTAAAGTAGTTTTTTCCATTATTGTCCAGCAAAAGGAGGCAGTCTTGGGGGCTGGTTTCTTAACCACTGATATTTTGCATCTGTCTGTCGGTCTCAGAGGCGAGTGTTTCTGCAGACGCTGGTGATGGGATGTGTACTCTGTGTGGCCTGGGTTTATTTCAGCATGATTCTTCCTCCGGGAGAGACTCAGCTTTCGCAGCTCGGCCTCTTCTGCAGCGTCTTCACCGTCAGCATGTACTTGTCGCCACTCGCCGACCTGGTAAACGCACATCTACACAACATATTTACAGTGGAATTACAAGATATGTGGAACATGGCTGACCACTACCGCATAATATGTAGCACACACTCAAAAGAGTCACCTTCTATTGCTCCACTGGAACACATTCTGACAGCCTGCAGTATTTATTATGCCGACTGGATGGCCTTGTGTTGATTAGTTGTTGAGCATATTTTGACCATGTTGTAGTTTTCAAAAAAGAAGACACTGGGGGCAGGAGGGCAGACTGTAGAAGGTAATTGTCAACTTGAAAGCAAAGCTAAATCTCTGAGATTTTACGCAATTTAGGATTCCCAGCCGGGCGTGTTTTTTCAGGTCCCCGAAGAGGGCATGTCCTGGAAAAAGAGAATATATAAATACATCCTATTGGACATTCGGTGAAAAATCTGATTTACACAATTTTCCACTGACCCCAGATGTAGTCGATCAACCAAAACATGTTTGGTGTCCGAATTTAGCTTCTTTAAGAGCTACGAAGCTAATGTTGCTAACAAACACTAGAAGTCAATAGTCACCCAAATCTTTTTTGCAAACACATCTCTAAACCGTCTCTCAACCTGCTCCAACCACATCCAGATCATCAATAAGGGTCATAATAGAACCCAGTTTCACTTACTGTGAACTATAAAAATGAGCAAAACGTCACTGTGTAGCTAAACCCTGCAGGTAGTCACTTTAGACAACATGTCTGAATTCTGACTCGCACGCACATCATTTCAGGTGTTTCTATGTATAAGTAACTCTTAGCCTTGAATTTTCGGACTCGGCATATATGTTTTTTGAAAGAAGCAATAGAATCCATGAATTCTGACTAGCATCCATATCATTATACAGGGTCATTCAAAAAAGATTCATCTGATTTCAAAATGATTTATTTCACTTGTAAATCATTACAGAACAATGCAGTAAACTGTAAATGGTTTAAGTGAACATAAAGTTTATTATGTCATTTTAAAAGTGCTCAGTATGAACCTCCTCCAGCTGTACGGACAACATCAACACCATAGTCAAATTCATCCCGTACTCGATTGAGCATGTCGGGTGTCGCTGTACTCACGGCTCTTTCAGTGCAATTTCGGAGATCATCCAGTGTTGTGGAACCAACAGCGAACGCTCTGAGCTGTTGGAGGTTCAGTGCAAACGAAAATCCCGTTGCACAGTAATGATGGATTCACTCTTATTGAAGTGGAGAACACAGAACGCTTTCTGCTTAGGGGTCTCCGTCTCCTCACAGACTGAAGGGAGCCATCTTCCACAGACAGTCAGAAACTCTGTGACCCCCTCTTTCAATTAGTATGTGATTGGTTCCTAGACGCCTCATGGTTGTAAAAATATGGCGCTTTGAAATCGGATGAATCTTTTTGAATAACCCTGTACTAACAACTGGCCGATGTTATTTAATTCTCTGTAAGTTCTATTTTTCACCCTTATCAGTTTTCTAAAGAAAAGTCAAGAAACTGCAGTAATACTCAAAGTATTACTGAGTAAAGCAAAGTGTAGTTTGAGGAGATTATTACATAAAAGCCATTTTATAAGTCAGTTTGATGAAAGTGAGGTACCATAAGCAAAAGTCGCATCACGGATTACTTGCAAAATTGAATAACATGGACAGAAATATTTAGTGGCGAACCTTGACTGTTAGAGCTAGGACTTCAGTTTGGGTCATAAATGTCAAAACTTGGTTGAAAAAATAAGAAAAAGCCCCTCTATAATAATGATACTTTTTACTAGCACCCCAACAGGGTTTTTAATAGTATATTGGCACTAAGCTAATTCTGATGCATTTGAGATGCACATGAGACATTCCACGTGTTTTATATGGAAATCGTAGCATACTTTAATATTTTATTATTTAATATTATAAGTTTTACCTTGTAGCAGTTCAGAGTCCTGGCATAGGGCTGCCACTGTTTTCCATTTCTAACAACTGCCTGAAACACGGCTAAACTACAACTCGCATTCACAGTCAGTGACGTATTTCGAACTTTCAGAAGGCCTAGAGCGACATTTCTGTAGAAAGTGGTCCCTCTCTTTGAAGGGAAAAAAAAACATGATTGATTCTGCTGTCAGTTCCTAATTATAATGATAGTTAATGTAATGTGTTAGTCCTTCAGTTCAGCTGCTGAAGGCCTGACCAATGTGAGAGCTCGCTTGGCTCTATCTACATAGATTTTCTGTTTGGCGTTTCAAGATTTTAACTTAACAAGAAGTAAGAGTATTGCAACAATACTCACAGAATTTAAATACAAATGTGATGATAATGTAACATAAAATAAATAAACTTAATGTCTAAAAAGGACCTGAAAGTTCCCTCCAAATAATGTTTAGGTATAAAATTAAATTAAATTGAAATTAAACTGAATATATGGAATTTATGTTCTTTAATAGGTTTAATTCAGGTTATAGACACTTGTACTATAGTAACCCTGGTGTGAATGTTAATATTCACAAAGAGATCTTTAAAGACAGTCTATCACTCTCACCTCCCCCTCCCCTGTAATTTTTAGTCCCTCTGTCCACTCTGAGCTATACAGTTTGTTTCCTGTCTTTCTTTCCCGTCCTTTTGTTTCTTCCTGTTTTTCCCTGACTTTGTGTGTGAGTGTCTGTATCTTATGTTTTGGACAAGGACGTCTTTGTGTGTGTGTGTGTCTGTCTGTGTGTGTGTGTGTGTCTGTGTGTGTGTGTGTGTGCGCGACATGAGACCTGAACTCACTGAACTCTCATCATTATAATATTGTGTTCTGAACCTGTATAACATTTAAGCGTACCTTAACTTTTGACCTATTTAAACTTTTGACCTATTTAACTGAAGTGAGACGGCTATGCTGAATTACTTCATGCTCTCTTTCTCTTCCAGTTGGATATTGTGCGCACTCGTTCAGTCGAGCGCTTGTCCTTCTCCCTCACTGTGGCTACATTCCTCACTTCAGCCTCCTGGACACTGTATGGCCTTCAACTGAACGATTATTACATTATGGTGAGGAGAGAAATGTGGGAGAGATTACAAACGCTGGGAGTTCACACCATTCATTTTCAAATGCACAGCTGACTTATAAGTCACGAATTGAAAGGGGGATTTTATCGATTTTTTTTTTTCTAATTTCTGCATCAGTAAATTGTTAATGCATTGTTCAACTTTGTTGCAACTTAATTTCTGTGCAACTTTGTTGTGATTTGCATGCATCTTAATTTCTGTGCAAGTTTGTTGTGAGTTGCAGGCAACTTCATTTCTCTGCAACTTTGTTGTGATTTGCAAGCATTTTAATTTCCATGCATTTTAATTTCCATGCAAGTTTGTTGTGACTTGCATGCAACTTCATTTCCATGCAAGTTTGTTGTGAGTTGCAGGCAGCTTAATTACTGTGCAACTTTGTTATGAGTTGCAGGTAACTTAATTTCCTTGCAATTTTGTTGTGAGTTGCAGGCAACTTAATTTACATGCAACTTTGTTGCGAGTTGCAGGCAACTTAATTACTGTGCAACATTGTTCTGAGTTGCATGCAACTTTCTTTGTTCACAATCACACAAAGCTATTCAAAAACAATAAAAGTTGCATGTAACACGTTCATTTACCCCACCAGTAACTACTTGAAATAGTATTTTTTTTCGAGACATTGTATTGTTCTCTCATCTCTGTCTCCTCTTCTGTAATAATTTACTTCTTTTGCCTCCAAAAGGAATCCTGAGAGGAGAAAATGAATAATCTAGCTACATGGATCAGGTTAATAGCAGGCAAGCAAAGAAGGATGAATCCTGGCACAAGCAGCCATTTAAACAGCAGTTAGTCTTAGCTGGCTAGTTAAACCAGGTAGTTACAGAAACTTTAACTTCAAGAAACCTGTTTGTTGTCATGGCTTAAGCAGCTGACAAAATGGCAAACTACCAGCCTGAATTAGGAGTATCTTCTTTTCAGTCGTCCTATAAACCATTTTTTGTTTAACTTTCTTAGCGTCGGCAACTGTTAAGTTTCAAGTGAGTTGCAGGACACTTTACATGCAGGTTTCAAGCAACTAAATTTACCTCACAGAAAAGCTATGTCATGAAATGGTTTATATACAGTGCCTGATGAGTTTTATGTCAGTTTTAAGATAAAGCTTTGGCCTGGAACGCATATTTTTTCAATTATATTAATGGTGGAGAGGTACATGCAGGGCGTTGTAAGGTGAAATGGTGCCCAAAGAAAACTATTTACCACTATTTTACCATTATCAACATGGTATATAAAAACTGGTCAAATACTTGAATAGTAACTAATCAAGAATTCCCTTTTCAAATGGTATAAATATCATTTACGGACTAGATATTTTGTGACAGCAAATCTCTGTGTTACTTTTGTGTCGGAGATTCAATTAAACATTGTTTATTCATAATTTAATTTCATTTTATTCTCTCTACTCAGGTGCCCAACACTCCAGGCATCGTAACTAGCCTCATCCGATTCTTCCTCTTCTGGCAGTTCGGAGCTGTCAATCAAGACAAGCCATCTTATAAACTCATCCAGACCTGAGGAAATCTGATTAAGTCACTAAGTGCCTACCCCTTGGTTCCTGCCCTGATATATACCACTTCCCGAAACCCCTTTTGCCCTAATTTGGGCTTTTAAATTAGTCAAGACTGTCCTTATACTCAACCAGAAATTCAACCATATATGAGGTATGCCACACAGGGCATGTTCTGTTGGCTTAAATTTTGCTATGTAGTCCAGCTGTTACTGCCACTTTCAACGCCGCCACTTACAGATGCCAGTTTCCCCCCTTTCTACATGTGTACGCTTGAACAAAACCCACCATTGTTCAAGCAGCTCGTTCCAAACCATCCAGAGAGCAGCCTGCTCCATCCCTTAGCTCATTATCTCCTTGAAGGAGAGAGAAAAAAGAAAGCTGGGGTTTACGTGCACAGCCAGCTTTTTGGCAGCAAGACCTGAAATGTTGAGCTATTTGCTACGCAAACAGGTCATGGCTCTTTATTCTTTTTATTGTAACTGTCGAAGCATGAGATTCATACTTTCCATGTGAATGCCTTACTGTGAGTTGGTGGAGATTGTGAGGGGTTGACCCATAGAACTTCTTAAGAATGAATGTACTGTACTGTAATCATTTTGAAGTTGATCTTGGAGCTGGGGGTGTAACCTGGGATTCAGAGCTCCTGCTTGGCAGGCTCTTCTCAGACACACCCCTCAACTTGAAATAACTTATCAGGTGTGTTTGGTTTGCGCTGGAGCAAACAAGGACACACCCAGTGGAGATGTAGATGGGGCTCAGATCATGCTTTTGTACCTGGCCTTGCACACGTGCATTTATCAAGCACACCCACCATATAAGTGCACTTTGTAGGTTTGCATTTACAGACTGTAGCCCACAGTTTATCAGCCCCCATCCATCAAAAAGGTGCAAACTGACCACATATTACTTAGGTGGTGGAACATTTTCAGCATAGCAGTTCCATTATAAACCTACAAAGTGTACCTACAGTGCCATGCAAAAATCACATATATTTTATTGATTTCATTTCCAGACAAAACAGCCTCTAAGTACAAGTTATTCATGTATCAGCATAAGAAAACAAAACTAAACTAAATATAATTTCCGTTTTTCAGTATTTAGTGTGTCCGTCCTTTGATATTTATTAGCTTCCATTCTTTTCGGGACTCGCGTTTTCAGTGGTTCAAAGAAATCGGCACAGATATTTTTCCACACCTCCACAGTTCAGTCTTAAAAGTTGGTTGAATTTTCTGTTTCTTATGATTCCAAGTAATCCCAAACACATTCAGTGATGCTGAGGTCTGGACTCTGGAGTGGTCAGTCCATTGTTCTGAGAACACCAGCAACATCTCTGTTCGACTTGCAAATTCTGCGAAGACTTGCAAACAGCATTGTCCTCTTACAGTGGAAGGATGGACAGAAACGCCTATAGATTTTTCAGATCTGAAGCAGCTTAATTTTCTCCTCTCTCTCAACGTTGAAAGTTTTGGTGGTCTGCCAGGTTTTCTCTGTATCTTTTAAGCATTTCTTTTTTACTTTTTGAGTTTCGGAAACTCTTGTTTCTCACATATTCTCCTTTATCCTTTATGCAAATGTATTATTTTGGAGCCGATCTCCTCAGAAATATCACCTGAAAAATTAATAGCTTGTACTTAATGGCTATTTTGATCTCAAATAAATGAAGGGTGGTCCCTGACTTTTTCAGACTACTGTATATGGTAGGTGTACCTGATAAAGTGAGCAGTGAGTGTAGATACAAGGTAGGGGTAGCTATAAACTTAAAACTTGCTGTGCACTTCCCTTCAACATTGGGAAAGTAGTTTAAGATCTTGCACGCAGTTTGATGATATCAACTTGACACGTAACATTGTTAACTATCATGAGGGATAAAACCTGTTTTTCGTTGTAGTTAATCAAATACACATCTCCTGATATAGATAACATGGATGGATTTTTTTAAAAATTGCAGTCAGACTACTTTCTAAACCAATATGTCATCTTTTTAATAGATGTCTACTTGGTGGGACCTTTCCAGACTGTGGAAAGTGTCTAAAATCATACTCAAAAATGGAGGAGCAGGTTTTACCTGCTCTAATTCTAGACCTCAGTGTACTCCCTGTGCTTAGTAAGTTATTGGAGAAGATCAAATGTTAATTTGTTTCAGTAGAAGTGGCCTATTTACAAATGTACAGCATGCATGTAGACCAGGGCACTCTACTAGCCCTGCATTAGTACACATGACTGATCAATGTTAACATGTGTTGAGGATACAAAACTAGTTGGAGCTGTGCTGTTGACTTTTACTGCGGCTTTTGATGTCATTGATCATGGTACTCTTATTGCTAAGCTTGAATGTTATGGCTTTTCACCTTTAGCTCTTGATTGGATCTTGAGTGACCTTTTTGGCAGAACACAGTGTGTATTTTTCAATGGACGTTTTTCTGACAGTAAAAAAGTACTTTGTGGTGTCCCATATGGGTGCGGTTTAGGTCCACTTTTATTTTCAATTTTCTTAATTGTTTGCTACATATCATTAAAAATTGGTGCAGTGGGTAGCACTGTCACCTCAGAGTACGAAGGGCCTGGGTTCGATTCCCCAGCCGGGTGACAAGGGACCTTTCTGTGTGGAGTTCGTGTGGTTTTCCTCTGGGTGTTCCAGTTTCCTCCCGCAGTCCAAAGACATGCTGTCAGGCCAATTGGAGATGCAAAATCGCCCCTATGTGTGAATGTATATGTCTGCCCTGTGATAGACTGGTGGCTTGTCCAGGGTGTTTCCTGCCTTCCGCCTGACCAGCAACCCAGGAGGATAAGCAACTTAGGGAATGTGTGTTACCAACTTTAGTGGAGTTGACAGATAATCTAAATGTTGAATTGCGAATATACAAATTAGTACTAAATATTGCTAAAAACCAAATGCATTGTAGGAATAGTAGGAATGTTCATGTTATCTCTAACTTGTCTGTAAATGGGAAATCAGTTGAGCAGGTCACCAAGACCAAATTACTGGGTGTTAAATTAGCTAATTTATTATCTTGGTCTGATCACATCAACCACATTGTTTCAGTGATGGAAAAGGGAATTGCAATCGCTAGGAAATGCATATGTTCCATCTTCTGTTACAATTGCTGTAGTTCGGTCACTTTTTTTGTCACATCTGTAGTACTGCCCAGTGGTTGGGTCAAGTGTTGCCAAGTTATACAGAACAGAGTTATATATGTATAATGTTCTTTGGAATAATACACCACATTTCTTTTGTGACAAACTAGTAGTTTTCAGGTTTTTGTTATGAGTATAATAGACATCAAGTGAGTTCTGGTCACTTGGTGGTGCCAAGTGACTATCTTGTATGAAAGAACTGGTCTTTGTAGGACTTCTTTAGCTTAGAACATGCTCCCCATTAACACCAGACAGATCATAAGCAGATTTTCTTTTAAAAAGTTACTAAGACATAATATGATGAACCCTTATATAGATGTTATTGTGGTATTGTTTTTATTGTTGTTTTTGGGACATTTTTGTTAAGGCTTCAAGTATAGGTTTTTATTGTTCGTCGTTTCTTTTGTTGAGTATTAGACTTACTGTGAGTTTTGTTTGTTTTTCTTTTTAATTTATGATACAGGATGATGTTTAAGAGGTTTGTTTTATTTTTATTGTAATTGTTCTTGTGTGGACCCCAGGAAGACTAGCAACCACTTTGCGGAAGCTAAGGGGGATCCAAGAAAAATGGGTTGCCCAGTGCCTGGTTGATTAAAGTCTAATCAACCAGGCATTGCGCAACCCATCTGTGTTGTTTTCAAAGTAGGCTCATTCAAATGTTGTTGATTGAGACTTACAAAAACGCTATTGGACTGTGTATTCATCATTCCCTTTTGCTTGGATGGCAAATAGCAAATTTGCACAGATGCCTGCTCAATCAGAGCCCCTGGCTGAGTATCTCAACTTGGACGCATCCTCCCTTCCACCCACAGACTCCAGTGAAGCCACATTTGCAAAGGCACTTGCCTGCACTTTTAGAAAAGGTGCCATTCTTTGGACTGATGCCATAGAAGAACCACTTTTAGTCCCCAGAAGACTTTTCAATAGATTGTTCTTTAAAGAACCCACTCTGAAGGGTGTGAAGAGTGTGAGGAACCTCCATGTAATGTAACAGTTCCACACCAGGAATGGTGTTTCATAGAACTGTGCGCCCAAGTGTCCAAGCCAAGAACCATTTAGGAACCTACTTTTAAGGGTGTGGGACATCTGGCAGGAGATAGTAGAATGACCTCTTAGCCTCCTCCACTCAGAACCTCCCAAAGAAATGCAGTAATGCAGGGAGGTGCATGGAATCTGCACCTCGACAGGCTCTGTTAGGCAAGGGCCAATCGAGGCCAGATGTACCCCTTGCGAAAATGAAATGGAAACTGCTTGCAGCAGATTCTTTGAAAGGAGTCTTTAGCAGAACGAGGAGTGAAAAAAACAACTGATTCATGAGACGGAGAGAAAGTACAGATGGAATCCTTGGCATATTCATTCTGCCCATCTGGCCAAGTCCTGCAAGACCTGCAAAATGTGAGTCATTGTCGCGTCAGTCACTCTAACGCCCATATTTACTGGGACACATATAGAAGTCCAATATGGTGAAGAGCGGTTGGTGTACGACCGACATCTTGTTTGTCACAAAGTGCTTTGGCATGAGCTGCGTAAGAGTTGAAGGTCTGGATAAACAGGCTCTGATCCTTGTCTCAAGCCTTGTTTTACTGTGTGCGACTATTAGTAGCTTGTTAATATTGAGATTTTCTACATATCAAATGTATATAATTGGTTTACTTCTTTTCAAACTGCTATCTTTAAGGGTGTGTGATGGGTTTTTATCATATGCAATGGTGTGTAGTAATAATATGCTGCATATCGCTGCTGTCAGAACAAAACCTTGTGTCTTTATTTTTGTTGTTTATCGCTGCTGTCAGAACAAAACCTTGTGTCTTCATTTTTGTTTTTCAATTTTTGTCATAATTTGAAAATGCCTGTTGTCCTTTACATTGTCTGTAAATTTCATGATGAATGGACCAAAAGAAACAGCCCAAAATTACTTGGGAAAAAGTCTGGTTCCATTGACTTACATTAAAAGTAAAGTAGGTTTTTTCCTTCTCCTGTAAAGTTACCATTTTGGAGATGCAAGGTTTTGTTCCGACAACAGCGATATATATATATATATATATATATATATATATATAATGGGTATTGAAGGGATGTGCTTTTTCAGTCTCGAGTGAAAACTCTTCAGAAATAAAAGTTTATATAACGCATAATCTTTGTTGTCTGATTTCACAGCAAGAATTAGAGGCGAGGCTCCCGAAGCTTAGTGTCTGAATGCGAGTGGATTTTCTGTCTCAGAGAGGATAATCTCTGGCTGAAAAGCGCAGGCAAACACAAAAGTATCCTCGCTTTCGCAGCTCATTAGATGGAACGCGGCTCATGAGGGCAGGAATTTAATTACAGCCGCTGTGCGAAATTACTCTACAGTGGGCCTCTTCTACTACAGTGCATCTTGACGGTTTTTGAGTCACAACCCCCTCCTTCTTGACCTCCCCCAAAACGCAATACAGGCCCTGTCCCAATTGCTGCATTTGCAGTCTTGCTGTCCTCATTTGTGGAGCACTGTGAGGCCATATGGTGTCCCATTTCTCATTTTGGTGCTAAAAGGGGTGCTCACAAGTGCCATTGCAGGTTTCATTTCAACTTTGGGGGGGGTGCACAGCTCGTACCACCTGATCCATGATATATTTTTTCAGTTTTTAGCTTTGACACACTCTTTTGTTGCTTTGGCAGAATGTTTGGGATCATTGTCTCGCTGTAGGATGGTGCACTGTCCAATGAGTTTGGAGGTGTTTTCCTGAATTTGGGCTGATAAGATGTTTCTCTACACCAGTGGCATCATGCAAGCCAAAATTCTGGGGTGGGGGGGGCACAATTACAGCAGGCAGAATGGGGGTCCTTCCCCAGAAAAAAAGAAAATTATCATGTAATCTTCTGCAATTTGACATAAATTTCACAAATATTTTAAAACTCCACTAAATCACTGTACCTCAGTAATCTCCAACTTCATATTAGGGAAAATACTGTGTATTTACCATACAGAAGTCTTAGATCTGCAGTTCCTAATATGGACATGACACCAGCTACTGACTGACGACAGAACTTCAGAGGTCTGTATGGTTGATGCACTAATTGGTAAATGATTAATTTCAGTGAATCATTAGTTTCTGAACAAATCTTTGAGAACTGTAATTCCCACCATTAGGTCAACCCCCAGACTGAGACCCACTGCTGTGCTAGATAAGCATATTGGACATACATGGAGCATGTTTGTGTGCAAGTAGCACGTCACTGTCAGCATGTGTGCAGTGGGAACTGTAGATTAGGCTGTTCTCAGTGTCTCCTATGGAGTCTCTGCATCAGCTTCCTTCCCTCTGCTCAGAGAGAGAGAGATGAAAGAAGAGAACAGTCCTGGGGGTGATTGTTCATTGCAACCGTCTGGAGGAGAAGTCAGGTAAAAAGAGATGGGGTGGAGTCTAGAACAGACAAAAGAAGCATTTTTTCGATGTTTGAAGAGGACATCGTAAAACAGATGCCTTCATATGTGCTTTTAAAATTTGTTTACTTGTCCTGAGATGGGTAAGTGGGGATAAGAGGATTCTTGGCAAACTTGAGTTGCAAAACTGCAGAGAGAATTTTGGCCCGAATCACTCTGTATACTCTCTCTACTTTATTGGAAACACCTACCTTGTGCTGCCACTCATTGGCCACTTTATTAGAAACACCTACCTTGTACTGCCACTCAATGGCCACTTTTTTGGAAACACCTACTTTGTACTCCCGTTGCTGGCCACTTTATTCGAAAAACCTGCCTTGCACTTCCACTAACTGGCCACGTTACAAGGTAGGTGTTTCCAATATAGTGGCCAGTTGGTATAAGTACGAGGTAGGCGTTTTTAATACTTACACCAACTGGCCACTTTATTAGAAACACCTGCCTTGCACTTCCACTAACTGGGCACTTTATAAGAAACACCCGCCTTGTACTTCCGATCACTGTCCACTTTATTGGAAACACTTACCTTGTACTTCCACTCACTGGCCACTTTATTGGAAACACCTACTTTGTACTTCCACTCACTGGCCACTTTATTGGAAACACCTACTTTGTACTTCCACTAACTGGGCACTTTATAAGAAACACCCGCCTTGTACTTCCGATCACTGTCCACTTTATTGGAAACACTTACCTTGTACTTCCACTCACTGGCCACTTTATTGGAAACACCTACTTTGTACTTCCACTCACTGGCCACTTTATTGGAAACACCTACTTTGTACTTCCACTCACTGTCCACTTTATTAGAAACACCTATCTTGTACTTCCACTCACTGGCCACTTTATTAGAAACACCTACCTTGTACTTCCACTCGCTGGCCACTTTATTAGAAACACCTGCCTTGTGCTTACACTCACTGGCCACTTTATTAGAAACACCTGCCTTGTGCTTACACTCACTGGCCACTTTATTAGAAACACCTGCCTTGTGCTTACACTCACTGGCCACTTTATTGGAAACGCCTACCTTGTACTTCCACTCGCTGGCCACTTTATTAGAAACACCTGCCTTGTACTTCCACTCGCTGGCCACTTTATTAGAAACACCTGCCTTGTGCTTACACTCACTGGCCACTTTATTAGAAACACCTACCTTGTACTTACACTCACTGGCCACTTTATTAGAAACACCTACCTTGTACTTTCACTCACTGGCCATTTTACTGGAAACACCTAGCTTGTACTTCCACTTACTGTCCACTTTATTAGAAACACATACCTTTCACTTCCACTAACTGGCCATTTTATTAGAAACACCTACCTTGTACTACCTCTCACTGGCCACTTTATTAGAATAAACACCTACTTAGTACTTCCATTCGCTGGCCCCTTTTTTAGAAACCCCTACCTTGTACTGTCACTCACTAGCCACTTAATTAGAAACAGCTAGCTTGTATTTTCACTCACTGGCCCCTCCATTCTCAAATCAACGGACTGACCACCCCACAGTCCAGACCTCAGTTTGCTGAATGTGTTTGAGATTACTTGCATCACAAGAAAATGCAGCCAACTGCAACTGAACTTTGCAAGTGTGGAGAAAATATTCCTGCAGATTTCTTTGAAAAAACTAAAAGGAAGTCACCCGAAATGAGTGGTACCTGTAATAAAGGCAGAGAGTGGACAGTGTAAATACTGGAAAAAAAAAAATATTTAGTTGTTGAAACATCCATTGGCCACTGATAGGAATAAAGCATGAGTACAACCAGTTGTGCATCAACAGATGAACAAAGAAGGAGTTTCTAATAAAGTCTTTAAACTGGTGTACATCAGTGGCAGACGCTTGGTGAAGTAATTGTATTCTGTAACTACTATTCTACTGCAATTTACTGCAAGTTCCTTCGTCCCAAGATGCTCCCATAAAAGCACACAAAAGTTCTATTATTCCACCACGATGAAAGCACGCTTTCTTAGGAATGAAAGAATCTTTATTCAAGCCTCACGCTAATCTTTCCATCTTTAATTAAAAACAGTTTGAAGTATACAGATTTGACTGCACTAATACAGTTGGAAGGCAGAGTATAAACACACAGGAAGATAATAATGGATGTACAGCATGCATGGAGACAGTGAGACTAGACTAGACAAGACTATGTGTGTGTGTGTGTGTGTGAGAGGGAGTGTACAGGAAAGAGGTGCACTGAAGAAGACATGCTCAGCATGCAGTAGCTCTATTATGTACAGGACTGTTTAAAAGTCACCCTTCATTGATTTAATTTCCAGTCAAAACAATCATTAAGTACAAGTTATTCATTTTTTCCAAAGAGATTAGATATAAGAAAATCCACTTGCATAGGGAAGGGCAAGTCAAAGGAAAATAAGTGGAAAAAAAGTGTTAAAAAGATACTGAGAAAATGGGATTCCTAACAACCACCTGTAAGACTAGACCACCAACACTGTCCTCATCAGATAAACAGCACTTTGTGAGTTCAGACCATGCCTTCAACATGGTGGTTGTAGTATGAGAGAAGACTGATTGAGGGAGGGGGAGAACTCTGAGAACTTGGGCTGGATTTCTGGGCAGCTTCTGCCTGGAGCTAGAAGGCTGGACCCTCATAGCTGTAGCAGGACTGGTGTAGGACTGAGGAACAGGATATTAGCACATTAGCACATACTGAGATATATTTACAGCCAAGATGGTGACATGAACATAAAATGTTGTGGCTCCCAAGGTGGTTTGATTTTTGTTGAAAGGACAAAATGGCTCTTCTTAAAATTTGGGTTGCGACCCCTGGTGTAGGCGGTGGGGTCTTGGTTCTATCAAATCTCTTCATATATGAAGAGGCCCACCTTAATCATTGACATTGATTGGTTTTAAGACCAGTGACCTGAAATGTTTTAACTTGTGAGGCCTGGGGTTACAATTGGTGGTGGGCCCAATGGGTCTAGATAAAAATCTGTAAAATCAGAATAACTCAACACGACGCAAGTGAGTTCCCTCCTGACTTATGTGGGCAAATAACAGCAGATTTAGTTAGCATACACTCTTAAAACAGATGGTTCTTCAAGGGTTCTTTAGTAAAGAAAAGGCTTCTATATAGAATCACAAACACTCAAAAACCCCTTTGCATGATTAAAGGGTTCTTAGCATCATGTAAGTGTTCTTCAGATTGATGGAGAATGTGCTGTAGATGGTTTTATAAAGAACCTTTTTGAAAAGGGTTCTATATAGCACCCAGAAGGGTTCTTCTATTGTTGTGATGTCAAGCTTGTAACAATAGAAGAACGCTTTTGGGTGCTATATAGACCCCTTTTCAAAAAGGTTCTGTATAAAACCATCTATAGCACACTGATGCACATTCTCCACCGAACTTTACTCCAACTATACTCCACCTTTAATCATTCAAAG